GCCCTGAATGCTAAATAACCGCTCAGCACACTCCTCTCTGTGGAGCTCAGGGAAATGGCAGCCAGAGCAATGAGTGGTTGGCATGACAACAAGGAAAGGAAAATCTGCAACCTCTTGTATTGTTAGGCCAGCTTGTTTATTTGCCTTAGGGGTCGTGCGGATGGCTTCAGTCGTTTCACAGGAGAAATGGTCCTGTACTATTTCGCTCTGCCTACATTAATATATATTACATACCATATGCCACAGTTTAAATGGGATGGTGACTCCTACCAGTAACTCTCAAATCTGGGGATGGAGGAGGGGAGAATGGGGAGGTCAGAAAAGGCTGAATTTTCCAAGATCGAAAAGGGAAAGAGAGAAGTTTAAAGGTATATTCATATTTTTGCTTGTAAGTGATGACAACATTTTTCTCCACTGTGCATTTTCAAGCTTAAATTTATAATTTCAGCAACAATAAACTTAGATATCCGACGATGTTCATGACTTGGCTGCTTGAGTCATGCAGATGTGAAAGGGTAGGCCAGGCTTTAGAAGGTGCATCTCCATTGGAAAACTCTAGAAAAACTGACCATGGATAACCCAGAAGAGCTTTTACAGATCTCACTGCTTTGACAGGGAGTAGACCTGGAAAGAATCCAGGGAAATGTTGGGGAAACACAGCAGCCCTGGGAAATCAAGGGGCAGTTACTGAAGGAATGCCCTTAAATCTTTAAATTTACTCAAAGAGATACCTGATGCTGGCTTTTGATGATCACGAAGGCACTTTATACTGTGACTGGTGTTTTTACTAGTATTCAAAGCATTGTACCTTAAAACAGTCAAAATCACGAAAGCATGATTTTAGATACTTCAAAGTTTTGCTATCTGTCAACTTCTCAGAATTGCCTCCTTTCTTTCTCCATTCACGCTGAAAACTGGGAATAAAGGTCTCGTTTTCTGTCATGCTTCAAGGTACATGGATGTGACCGTTCTGCAATGGAAGAAGAATTGCCTTCTTTGGCTATGATTGGTAACAGCCGCAGCTGGGCGTGTGGCTCTGAATCGGGCTGCGTGGGGCAGTCGTAAGAGCGCTCGCCTATAAAGCAGGAGACCTGCATGTTGGCTGTAGCCATGTGATCTTGGATGGGTTGCTAAACCCATAAAGAGGAGTGTGAAAGGTCAGCTTACAAGCTAACATCCAGTTATCTTGATATTATCATGATATAAATTCTCATATGAGTTTGGGCCCCACCCACGAATAAGAAGCTTAAAGATGAGGCTCCTAATTTTCACTCAGAGTTCAAACTCTATAGCGACCAAAATGCATTCTGCTTGCTTTCTTCAATGAAGATAAGGTGGAAAAGAGAGGAAGGGTTTATTACAAGACTTTACTCTTATTATTCATGTAGGGAAAACAATTTAAAAGTGACTGCTTTAGTCACATGTTTTATTCACTTATCAATAATAATAACTTTACTAAATGGCCTGATTCTCAATGTTTTCTCACTTCTTTTGCTAGGCTTCTGTGGCATGGCTTCTAAAAAGGACACGTCAATAAACAAATGTAAGAAAAATTCTTAAAGTAATAGGTGAGCATTTAATACTATCTACCTTTCTATGGATTAGCTTTAAATTGGAAGCTAATTTGAAAAGAGACAAAAATCTAGAAGGGTAAACTGTAAAGAAATATAATGTAAAGTATAATTTCCTTCCAGCTCTTCCTGTGCAACTCCTACCCTCCTGCTGCCTCCCCCACCACCTCAGGGCATAAGATCAAAGATAAGCTGACTATGGCCTTGTACCTTTACAAATTAAAAGTTATTATGGCCCAGAAATGAAGGTGCACATTGAAAAGCGTAGATGAGAGACAATGAGGTAGACCTTTGGGTGACGTAAGCCCACTCTGATAAAGGAAAGAAGAAGGAGGGGGAACTGATGATTACAATTCACTTGTTATGTGAACTTGTTTATAGAGATAAATAAAAATAAACAATGTTGAGGAAAAGGTTTATTTCTAAGAATGAAGAGAAGGCTACAGCAAAGAAGGAAAGTAGAAGAAAGCTCTTCAGCTTTAACCAGGAATGGTCTGGACACGATAGCATATAGCTGAGGATGTCACTGGGAAATGTTTCATGCTCACAATGTCTTGAGAAATATCCATTATAGGGGAAATTGCAATATACCAATACATTATATGGAATGATAAAAGAGTGGGCTAATATATAGCCTGGTCCTCTTTCAAATAATCACCTCAAATTATTGATATAATGCCAGCTCGTATCAATGGTCTCCATCATCAAAGGACAGCATTTTTAAAGAACATATCTAAGATTTGAGAACATTTCTTTTTACTGGGGATAATTTTGTTTGTGATTTGTGAAACACTTATATATAAGCCATCAATAATATAATTTATTCTTTTATTAAGCTAAAGTTTGGAGAGAAATTTAATTGCACATTAACATCACTGGGAAATCCTCTGTGGGTATGAGAAGATAATATTTTACACTTTTTCCTCTCCTACTGCTTTCCACATGTGGATAATTGATGGATTCAATACTTGGCCTATTCTTTCTGGAGGGACATTGATTTAAAATCACATCATAATTTGGACTGAAACATCACTCTGGTAACCTAGAGCAGGCTGTTTACACAACCTTTGTCACTTTGAATATACATACAAAACTTACATAATTAGTCTCCCAAAGGTAATGTAATATTCATTTGATATATATTAAGCTGAATTCAAAACTGTCTCTGGATGGTCCTGAACCCACAATTTAAAGAAACATCTGTCAGTCTCTTTTTCACTTATATTATTTTCTCAAAGAAGCTGGCAAGGACACACTGACCTGGCAAATACATTTTTCTGATGCTCTTAAATAATTAAGACCATTGAAAAAAATGAAATAGTGAATGATGTTGGTTCTCTACTGCTTGACCAAGCATGCTACAGTGCTTTTTTACTTGAGTATGTAATAAGCCTCCATAATAGTCAGTGAGAGTCAACTAGGGAGAGTTCAAGAGACAAAATAAGACTTTCCAATAGTTTTCACCATTAATTTGAAAAGGACTTTCTTCTTTTTGCATCATTCATTCAACCACTCACTCAACACACATTTATTGAGTCCTCGAGGTATAATGTCAAGTGCTGCAGGGGACGATGATGAGAAAAATCTTGATCTCACGTTATCTCCTTCCTTCCCACAACCATTTTGTTCTAACATGTCCTCAACTCTTCGTGCCTCAATCCCTTCAAAAGTTTCCCAGTTAGTGCTCCTGACACCCAAGTCCCACCCTCTTCAAGTTGAATTACACTCAGCTGTAGAAAAATATTCCTAGACCCAGAGTGCCCTGTTGTCCATATAGATACAACTACCACCACTGATAATCATAATAACAATAATGGTAATTAATAGACTATTTCTTGAGTCATGCATTTTATATACTCTACTATCTCTTTCAACCCTCCTTGTAACCATGAAAAGTAAAAATAATATTTTTATTTCATTCTTAACCACAATTTCTTACTAATGCGACATTTGTGCCTATAGGGCATTGCACAGCTTTTCAAATCTTTGAATTAGATTGGACACTGCCACCCTCTCTTTCCATTCCACAGACATCTCTGCAGGGTATTTGTTTTTTTATCACAGCAACTGCCAAAATGCAGCTTCACAAAGACAGGGCGTCTTGAAAAGGAATGTGGTGTGATCTAGTAGTGATACGGAACTATCTTGAACTAATAGTTCATGTAGTATTTGAAAGCCATTGAGTATCACAGTGTTTCTTCTGAGTATTTAGAACACTGCCATACTCTTGTGCCTTTGCTGTGGCACCTCAAGATGCTTCTGTGCACAATTTGGGAATTTTGTTTGGAAACAATCCCTCTTTAGCTTTGTCCTCCTATACTGCTTATTTGATACTTAACACACCGTGCTCTGTATCTGAATTAATTGCATGCACATGTCTAATGTCTGCTACTAGATCATCTGCTCTGTGAAGTTCAGAGTCCATTCCTTGCACATACCCTGGCACAGCTTGTACGTAGAAAATGCCCAATAGTAGTTTGTTGAATGAGTGGATTAAAAAAAAATCATACTATATTTGAAATGCCTTTCATACTTGCCCATTAAAATTTAAATATATTTTTTGAACTGAGCGTACAGTGCACGTGTTGCTAACTAACTGACTGTAGAAAACCAATCTTTGAACAAGTACGGGATGATTTTGAAGGCGGTATAGCCTTTCTAACTAGTAGTTTACTTACTCTCTTTGGAGTAGCATGTCAGCAAGTTGCTGTGTTCAAATGCATTAAATTCTGAATTACGGAAAGAAGGGAAATAATGGTGTAGAATATTATAGGGCAGGGTAGTGTTTCTCTAAGCCATTAATGACAATATCATCAACAGTAAAGAGGACTATTGGTAGAAATTACACTTTGAAAGGAAGTACTTAAGATTAAATTATATTATGCTCTCCTTTAAGCATCTGTATATTTGTTCTTAAAAAGCTACCTGAGGAAGTATTAAGTGGTTCCTGCGTATGTATGTGTGTGTTTGTTTTCTTTGCTTTTTCTCTTTTATTTTTTAAAGGCTGGGAGATAGACTCTACATTCCTTTCTGCCCTAAAAAGTAAGTATGCTTCTTATCAATTTATCGATTTAAGTCCAGTATCATTCAAGAGTATCAATAAGAAACTATTCGTGAAGTTTTCTTTCAGTAAGTTACAGTGCTGACAGTTACTAGCAAAACATGCACACATCAAGCCATTTGTCTACCAAAATTAAAGTGGTAAAAACTAAATAGGGAGATGAGATTGAGCATACAACTAATTTGGGGGAAATGTCAGGCTAGTTCCCATGATTTTTCTCTCCTTTTGGTGTCTATTTCCCCTGACCGACTGGAATTTCAGTCCTAGCACTAGTGAAAGAAGATCAGTGCTGTAAATTAATTCACTTTCAGCCTAAACAGACTTCAAAGCACAAAGCAAGCCCTGGTGACAGAAGAGCCGTTAGTTACCTGCTGTTTCTCTGTCAGCTGAGGTCAGCTCTCCATTGATCCCATTCTCTTTGGTATTTGAGTAGGTGTCCTGTGACCCATGTTCTCCAAAGGCGCCCTCTTCATCCTCCCTGTACGGGAATCCATTGGCGCTTCTGACAAGTCCTTCCCCTGCCCCACCTTGATCCTTGATCTCAGGTGGATGTGGGTGGGCGGATGCCTCTGTTAGTTGAGCTGAGGTCCAGTGAGGCGCCTTTGCTTCATCTTTCCGATCATCTGCCATTCTTCAACGTCCTGTGGCTTCTCCTGTGATTGGAAGAGGAAAAACGGCAGCCATGACTTTGGAGAAAGCTTATCTGATATTAGTGGTACTAAGATAGGGAAAATTTATAGCAAACTCACTAGTTAGCTATGGTCAAAAAACATATTCGACAACCCACTTTTAATAACAAGAGGTAGCTATTGTTAACACCTTGGTTTTTACAGATCTTTTCTGGAATATCTATTCTTTTAATATAGGATCACCATCAGTTTACATATACTCTTTTTTTTTTTTTTTAAACTAGTGCTTGGCATTTAAGGACATACCTGAGCTAACTTTCACTGACATGTGACATTGTACAGTAAAGGACTTCTTTAGTATAGGGAAAATCTGTAGGGTGACAAAACTGGATAGAAAAGAGTGGGGAAAAGAATGGCTGAGGGGAAATGCTGGATTATGGAAAATTATCCCAAATACTCTTTTAAACCACAACTCTGTGAAACCTAGAAAAGACAATGGCCAATATATTAGCCCTTTCGCTTTCAAAGATGATCAATTCAAACCAGGTAGATATGTTTTTCTGGATACTGTGTATTAAGAGAAAGATAGTTTTGACAATTTTTCAGCAAACTTTTCTAAGCCCTATGTATAGATTACAAGGGAATGAAACTGTCTCAGTATAAATCTTACACAGAGAATAAAAATTATAATATCTGGCCTATGTCATAACTTACAGTTTTATTTCACAATTAAGTCAATTAAGTTAAATCACTAACATATACTAGGTGGCTGTAAATTATAGTAAAGTTTGAATAAGTTGTGGAGTAGGTGTTCTGTACGTGTTAAGCAAATGGCAGATACCGCACGGCCTTCACTTATATGCCGATGCCACTAAATTTAGAGATGTAGTTGATGAGAGGTGATGAATCACTCAGTTTTGAAAAGCTGTTGCCAGCAATGTAGCTTTGTTGATGGTCTATTGTCCCTATACTCATGATAACATAGACAATGAGAGTCTCTGATGGAAACTAAGAACACTTTCCTTTCTTTCAAAAATTCAAGCAAAACCCTCCAAACAAGGAAACAAAAACTGCATTAAAACAAATCTACTTTTGGCTACCAAGCTCTGTTTAGAGACATCAAAAATAAATTAAGCTGTAAAGAAAGTAAGCTTCCTATCAGATTCCTAGTAAGGATCTGTCTGTTTTTTACTGAATTTCATTCTATTCTCAGGTCCCTATTCTAATTTTCTGTTCATACCAGGAAGAACTAGATGAATCAACTCTTTTAAACTAATTTGATGATAACACACCCCTAACCGCAGCAATTGTTTCCCATAAGGATTTATTTGTCTCTATATAATGTTTATTGTATCTATGAGCATACTTAAATAGGAGATAAGAAGTTTAACTTTTAAAACATTGATTGAAGGGCTTGTGAATAAACCAAAGAGCATCCGCACAGCACTGATGATGTACAAAGAACTGCATGCACGGAAGAGTTTCCGCATATATAGAATGAGGACAAGGATGCTTAGTTTATCGGTTTGTTGCAAAGTTTAAACAGAATAAAATAAAGGGCTCAGCACAAGTCCCTGGCAAGCTCAATAAATAGTAGTTACTACCTTTGTTATTATTATTATAATTATACTAACAGTCATCATACCACCAGTCATTACACATAAAATATTTTCAGTAGTTTTTCTGGAATTGCTGGCATAGGAAGAAGAGCCTGAAAACTTGGTAAGTCCAATAATAGTTACTTGCAAATCTGCTCCCAGATATCACAGAGAACTGAATGAACATCCCAAGACAGACACGGCAAGTGTCTGGGACATGAGAGCTTGATGGGAGGAGTGTGTCCTCAGAACTAACCACTCCATGTGTACACCTGAAAACTTAGCTACATCTTTTATAAAGACAGTTCTGCAGTGTTCTAGACTCCACTCTGCCATTGTCTTCTAGTCAACTATCAAAGGACCTAAATTGGGAGTCTGAAGATTATGTTTCTTCTGAGAAACATAATCTTGTTTAGGCATCTTCATATATCTAATGGGCTGAATAAATTATTTACATTCAAAGCGTGACTCTGATCACAATATTTTATTGCTAGCGAGACTGTTGGCTCAGCACCCTTATCTTTACATGCCTTGATTTCTTTACTTTTCCTTTACCAGAACAGCTTAAATAAAATTTACATATTCTTATACGGTCCAAAATATTTTTTGTGCAGAGTGAATACCTGTAAATAGAAAAAGTTTTCCACAAAAAAGTACATGCCTGGCTAATACTGTTTTTTTAAAAACTTTATATTTTTAGAACAGTTTTATATTTATAGAAAAATTGAGCAGACAGTACAGAGATTTCCTATGTATCCCCTGTACGCAATTTTCTGTTATTAATATCTTACATTAGTATGATACATTTGTTATAATTAATGAAACAATACTGATGCATTATTATTAACTAAAGTCCATAGTTTATTTAGATTATCTTAGTTTTTTCCTAATGTCCTCTTTCGCTTCTAGAACCCCCATCCAGGATTTTACATTACATTTAGTTTTCCTGTCTCTTCAGGTTCTTCTTGGCTGTGAGAGGTTCTCAGACTTTCCTTGTTTTTGATGACCTTGAGAAATACTGGTCAGGTAAATTATAGATGCCCTCTACTGAAATCTGTCTGATATTTTTTCATGAATAGTCTTTGATTATGTGTTTTGGGGAGGAAGATCACCAGCGGTAAAGTGCTCAAATAAGCTTGAGAGATGCTGAGTTACATGGGCATGTATAACACAAGCTTTCTGAGAGCTTTTGCTATTCTACTGCACATGGGAATCCCAGGGAAGGCAAGTGGTGTGCAAAGCATCTCAAGCAATTGGCTATAGAACCTTCATCTGATGCCATGTTTATTAACATCTCCAGAAGGATTTGGAAAATACTTAGGTTTGCACTTTAGCCCATGTTTAACTCTGGGCATTCTAGCCATAGATATTCAAAGGAAATAAAATAATATGAGCACCCATAACTCCCAGCTAAAATTGGCAATTCTTCCCCTAGGGCTATCTGGAAAAGATTTTTCAATGACTAAAAATCTTCATTTTGAACCTAAAGATCCAACATGGAAATGAGCAGTGTGTTACTTGGTAATCATCCATTTGGCACAGTGGTTGACAGTCCGCCTGCCGATGCAGGGGACACGGGTTCGTGCCCCAGTCCGGGAAGATCCCACATGCCGCGGAGCGGCTGGACCCGTGAGCCATGGCGGCTGAGCCTGCGCGTCCGGAGCCTGTGCTCCGCAACGGGAGAGGCCACAACAGTGAGAGGCCCGCGTACCGCAAACAAACAAACAAAAAAAAGTTATGATAATTTGTTTTCAAGAGACCAGGCATTCAAAAAGTGAATTCCTTAGTGTTTAATACTTTAGAGTTTTTAATTCTTTCTTTTTAAGTAATCAATAAAAACTAATGTTGGAAGAAGAAAGGGCAGGCTGGCTACACTGATTTCACTTACTATCAGAGGCACAAATAAAGTGAATTTATTATCTAAAATTCATCATCTGGCTTCCTGATAAGACTACTCAGATAATACTCCTTAAAATGTATACAGATCAGTCAGATATCACTTTCTAATTTGTTGGGCTTTTGAAATGTACATAGTCTAACTCTCTATTAAGTGACAATCACTTTAGGAGATTTCAAGCTAGAACTGGCATTGCTGACAAGACTGACAGAAAATATGATTTGGAAAGATTTCCTTAGGTTTTACTGAAAAGCAGCTGGAAACAGAGGAGACACTATTTAGCTTCTCTCACTTAAAATCACAACATGGTATTACTAAAATACCACCCATTCATGATAAATTTCACTTAAACTCCCAATCAATGTTTTGGGGTCACAGATTATCTCTACTCCTCAAAATGGTGTTAAAACATAGTTAAAAGTGATCACAACTTCCTTTAATTTCTTCTTCCTGATGTATAATATTACTTTTACCTGAATCTGTCTGAAAATTGGGCTTGTGGAATTAAAGAAGATAAGAAAACTGAGATAAAGGCAAATTCTCTCCAACTCTATTGAAGAAAACTTGTGAGGTACCAGGAATTGTAACATCCCATTCCTACTGTGTAATGGAAAAGACTCCTCTCTCCATATTGCAAAAGATCACAAATCCTCTTTGCTCCTAACTGGTGAACAGCTGGGCATCCGCCATACAATCTTCTGGATGGATAAAGCAAGCTGAGAAGCTACCTACACTCTTCTCCTTCTCCTCTTCCCAAAAGCCTAGCTTGATAATGTGAGCAAGGAAATTCCTGAGTTTTAAAAAAAAGGTTCTAAGTCCAAGACACTGACCTACAATTCATAATAAGTTGCAACGGAATCTTAGCTGTTAGGGCTAAACACAAATGCCAATATGAATGAGGATACAGATGCCTGTAATATGGATTTTAAAAAAGAAATCCAAGAAGTTCAAATTTCTATTTATTTGATTTGAGAATGAGATATTTCACTTGACTCTATCATATCATGGCTATTATGCTACATAAAACAGGGCCCCAGGCTTCTTCCCAATTAAGATATACAGTTGGAAAGAAAAGCTAAGAGAAGGTCTTGTGCCACCACAAATGTTAGTTATAGACTTGAGTGGTGAGCTTCAATCTTTGCCACCATTTGTTATTAAACAATTTCCTTCTGATATCTGAAAGTTCTCTAAGGACAGACATTTCTTCTTTCATCAAAATCCCAGCTTTTAAAATTCCAGTTCTTCCAGTTTTTCCCTTAATAAGCCTTAGACCTGGCTCTCTCAATCTAGTGCTCCTTGGTAAGAGCATGCAGGTTTTTTTTCACACCAGCTGTTGAACCTACTAATCACGGCTACACTCTGATTCATATCACTGATGGATAATTATGAAAAAATGTAAGATTCTTTAGTGTTTGGCAACCTGTCATTATCCTTTGATTACAATGACATGAGCCAGACATTATGATGTGGCATTGATCAGATTTCTAACTTGCTGAAGATTCAACCTGTATCCTCTTATATCATGATAA